GCTGTGGCCGCAGCCCAGGCAAGCTGGCCCGAAGGCAGCTCAGTGGGGACACCACCAGCCCAGAGCCCCCAAGGCTGGGTGGGCGAGCACAGCTTCCCAGCCGCTGCATTCACACAGTCAGTCCTACATACAGTCTGCCCTCAGGGCTGCTCCTCCCGCTCTACAGCCACGCAATCTAGGCTTTAATCACCAAACACCCTTTTTCGCAGGAAAGAAATAATCTAGTTTAATCATATTGGTAAGAACACACATCACTGTTTGACTCTGTAAATCCCTGTCAGCGAGATCCTGAAGAACATAACACCCAGGTGAGGTGTGTAATTTCAGCCCACTGCAAAAGTAATTAAGGGTACAATTCAGCAGAGCATTAAAAACCTGGGGTTTTGTTTTGTTTTATTTTAAGCACTTGCATAAGCACCATATCGAATCAAGACTTACCCTGCGGATCACTGCTCCGGGCAGGGTCGGTGTTACCCCCGGCTGCCAAAGGGCAGCGCGTTACAAGGTGAAGCTCCCGGCAAAGCACCGCGCTGGTGCTGAGCCCCAGCACCCTGGGCCGCGCCGGCGCTGCTGGGACCCCCGCGGCTCTGCCCAGCCCGCTAAGTCACCCCGCTCCGCTCCTGACACAAACTGACTTTCAAAGCCTAACAGGCTAAAACTGGGGGGTTAAGAACAGGCTAAAGTTAAAAATAGTTGACATTTTGGAAGTGACTGCAAGGTAAAATCCAAGCTTCCACTAGGTTTGTTAGCCATCAGAAAGTATTTTGATTACAGAAGTGTGCAAAATGTGATTGCTGCTAAAGACCACAGCTGGAAAAAAATATGTCACATTTTTATAACTGCCATATACCTAATAAATATAATAGATTTATTATCAGCTGAAGAATAGATTGGTAAACACTGTAAATTAAATTGTATGATGAAGTTTATTAAACTTCAAGGCAGTGCCTACTGAGACAGGAAGGCTAGAAGTTATCGGAAATTCTGAGCCTGCCACCTTCATTTTCCATGTTATTTTAAACTGTTGTTACCCAAAAAGGTGCAGGCTACGATACCTGAATATACAGACGTGCCAGCTCCATGATGCAACTCACTACGCCTGGCCCATAATTTACCAGCTTTAACCCTCCTGTGAAATGACATCTATATAAATATTGTTAATAGCACTAACATAATGTTAAGTCAGGTTTTACTGGACTCCCTCATACACCCTTTGGATTTATTAGCTATAGGATTTGAAGTAAATTTTTATTAGCCCAAGTTAAACCCAGCTACCATGGGCTTGGCATTTGGGCTTTCTTCCCCCCATCTTCCTTCCTTTATCTGAGCTTGGGCCCCCTTTTCGTAGCCCACTGCTTCCTCCCTTAGACCGAAATGTCCTCGGATAAATCTTACAGAATGAAATATTTATTAATTTTCCTAACCAATGTTGATCTCATAAATTACCAGGACTTTTTCATGAAATGGTTATTAACATCCATGGCTGTATGTTAATGGCTTATTGACCAAATATGGGATAATTAGACCCTAGGAGCACTGGCCAGTGATCTATGAGAAGCAAATTTGGCCCTTATTACACCAATGACCTATTTAATATCTACTGATGAATTTAAGGTAGAATCACAGACAGAATTTGTTTCAAGGAGCTGCCCTCCAACTAATGAGCAGAAAGATTCTTGTATAAAATCTATTGATCCAGAAAAAATATTAACAAAAATCATTTTTTGTAACTGATGATTAATTGGCTAAATAAGCGATAGACTGAGATACACCAAGAAAGGACTGGTAACCAGATATTTCCTGGGATTAACGAAACAATGAGTCTGTCTGACTAGAGGGCCCTGACTTCTCCCCCAGCTTTGAAGGATTTAGGTTCTAATTTATACTATGAAGATTTATACTAATATTTGTTGAGAATTTAAACATTTATCCATGCTGCAGTTTCAGAAACAACTGTTTAGATCTGCTGCAAATAAGCGAGCTGTGTTTGGTTAAGCTCCTAAGCATGCTGTATATTTGAAATGGGAGAGTTAGCATGCTGTGCACCGCTCAAGGAGACCCTTTCCTCTGTCATCTCACAGTATTTAAAATCAAATTAAAGATAAAATAAAGGGAATGAAAGCAAAGCCAGAAAGGAAGGAATACAATTAGTTTGAAGTACTCGAGCTATACTATCATTGTAGGCAGGATGCGCAAGTCTGAACACAGTTTAAAAATTAAGCTGGTGATGTTTTTGTGAATACAAAAAAATATCCCTCAGCCAATCCAGCAACCTAATTTGCACTCTGGTCCTTTGACCCAGAAAGGCTTCTACAGAAATGTACGTACTTGGAATTGTTACAGGCATTTCTCAATCAGTGGAGAGGACTTATCTGAATTCCCCATTGTAGCGTATCCAAAGAAATGCAATTTAAGTAATGGTACATGTTTGCGTGGGAGCTGATGGCTCTGCGGTGCCGTGTCTCGCTGGGCTCCCAGCCGAGCTCCCCTTCCACAGCTCATTGCTTAGTCCAGCTCCTAAAGCCCGGCTCTTTTACTCAGCTTGCCTGCTTCTCTCACAGCCTGGAGTGTCACAAATGAGGAGAGACTGGTTTGGCAGGTCATCGCGCAGATCCTGTAACACAACTGATGAGGGAGAGGAAACAATTTATTGCCCCAAATAAATGCTATAGTTCCAAATATCAGGCAGCTACCACTCTTCTTATCCCGCTCACTATAACTTTTAGGTCCTATGCAACTGCTAACAGTGATTTTAAATTCCTTCTCCCTGCCAGATTCAGTTTTTCTGTAAGAAGGGGCAAACCCAAGAAGGGATTAACTGATTGCTGCAAACAGGAGTGCTGCGAGTTCTCACAATTCAGACCTTGCCAAAGCTCCAGGACACCACAACAAGTAATTTTAACCTCCACTGCATTTAAAAAAAAAAAAAAAAAAAGTCTTCCCCAGCAGTTGCTCCATCAAGGCTGCACAGAGCAGAGCTTTCCGGGGTCAGGAGAGGCTCAAGCTCCCGGCCGAGGCTGGGCTCGGCTCAGCCCGCCCGTGCCTGCTGGGGCGCAGCATCCCTGCGGACCCCGCGCCGCGAGCCCCCGGGGCTCGGGCACGCGGCTTACTGCAGCAGTGCATCACTGCAGATAAAGTAAATCCAGTAATAAATATGGAGTGCAGGAGTAGACTGCAAGGAGTCATTCACAATAGCTATTGTACCTCTCCAATTTGCTGTACTAGGAGAGATTGCCTGGAGGTAGATAGTGGAAATATTAGAAGGTGAAATAAGAAGGAAGTTTCCCTAACTGAGCTGAGGACAAGCTTTACAGGCTAATGAAGGGACAGATGACACAGAGAAAAGAAAAACACCACAAGAGATAAAAAGAAAGAATTAATATATGAAAAATGAAAGCAAGCAGATTAAAAAACAGAAAGCTACCCACGCTCCCTTTGCTCACGTATTACTCCCTAATTACAGATAAGAGCCCAGGGGCTGCAGTCGGACACACTGTTTTAATCATTTTTATACCCTTTTCCTGCTTCTTTTGCCCTCTCTTGAGGAATCTACTAACAGCCAGCACCAGAGACAGACAAGCAACGCACCCAGGACTCCAGACGTGCCGGGCAGAGATGTCCACAGGTATCATCCCAGCCCAGGGAAGCTGAAGCTCTGACCACCGCTGCTGCTCTTCCTCCATCCACCTCTTCCTCAGCTACACTAGGAGCACAGCCAGGCCCCAGCTGGCCGAAGGGCTTTTAACAGCTCCCCACCCTGATTGCTGATTGCAGGCAGGTGAAGGGGTATTAAGCACTGACTGGTGCAGGACCAAGGATCACGCTAGCTGGGGAGGAGGAGGCGGTGGCCTCTGAATCTGACCCAGGAGCAACCGAAATAGCAAAGGTGATGACAGCAAACCTGCAGGGCTGCCCCACCGAGGGCTGCAAGCCTGCCAGTGCCAAGCACTGCCAAGACCAAAAATGTTGAAACTCCACTCCGCAGAGCAGAGCGAGGACGTCCCAGTCCTGGTCCCGTAGCTCCCGTCCTCGCACCGCCCAGCTGAGCGTCCATTTCGTGCTCGCTTTCCTGCACGGAGTTTTATTACCAGCCAACAAACACCTAGATTTAAAAATTAAATGCAAAGAAAAGAAAAACAGCTTCCTTTCCACTATCTACTGAGTTCAAAAGGAAGATGCTGTAGATCTTCCCCGTTTTCTCGCAGAAATGGTGTCACTTTTGAAATGGATCACCTGGCTGTGCCGGGCTCTGCGGTTGCAGAGAATTCCTCTCTCCCTGCGTATCCCCGCCAGCCTGTGCAATGCTGCCTCCCAATACTTCTCCCACCCGAAATTCGCTTTCTTCTTGTGACAGGGTGTAAGAAAGAATAGGTGCAGATTTTAACCTCTATAATAGACACTAAATCACATATATTTGTTTTCCTCTGTGCTGGGAAAATGTCCCCAAGGAAGCATGTTAAATTTGGGCTTTAAAAGCACCAATTTAGCTATTATGAGTTTTCTATGCTTTTTCTATTCAGGGAATGTTTGGCTTGAATACAGTACGTAGAAGAAATAAGATCAGCCCAACTGTTTTAAAGCTGATTGACACCTTGGGTTTTTTCCCTTGTAATCTGAAGCGAAAGCAAAAAATATAAAGGGAACCAGACACTCATTTAAAAGAAATTATTTCCTTGCCTACAGTCCCTGATCAGGGCTGCCTGTGCAGGGAGAATGAGATCTCATAAAAAGCCTTTCGTGGGTTCTTTTTCACATCATTTCGGTTCAGGTTTTGGTGGCAGATGAACTGTATTTCATCAGAGTTTAGAGGAAATTCAAAGTGAAGTTAAGGAAGTTGCTGTAAATGAGAAAAAAATTCCCAACAAACCCTTTCATTCTAGCTTAACATATCAGCCAAATCAGGAAACAGCTGTAGCAGAAATATTGTTTTTAATAATAGGAGAAAGCAGCAGAGACGCAGCTTTTGTTGGAACAGTGACCCCCAATGGTGAGAGCGACGTGGGCTGCGAGGATGAGGAGGCCCTGGCCGAGGAGGAGGAAGAGGGTCTTGCAGGAAACCTGGCGGGGGGTGCCGGGAGGCCCTTCGGGTGCCCTCAGCACCCACCTGCCCGGCCCTCGCCCCCGGCCCGGGGGGGTCCGTGGCCGAGGCAGCCCCCAGCGACGCCGGCTCCGTCTGTGGCCGCAGCTGCGCGGCTTCCTCCAGAGCTCCTGTTGTCCGTGGAAATTTTGCTGGGAGCCGGGAAGACACCCCTGGGGAGGGGGCGTCCCGGCTCGGGGGGGGCTGGCGGGGGGTCCTCCCGGGGCTCCCCGCCAGCCCTGGTCTCTGCGAGGCGCTGGGCTGCGCGGGGTGCTGGGGCGGGAGGAATGGGGGCCCCGGACACGGGGCACCGTGGGCTGCCCGCCCACACCCACGGCTGCGCCCGGCAGACACGGGCCCCGCGGGGGGCAGGAGGGGCGGGCGAGCCCCGGGGCAGCACCCCACGCGTGAAGCGACGGCGCGGGGTGACAGCGAAGTCCCGCAAAGGGGGTGCCGGGGTGTCCCCGTCCGCTCGGCCGGACGGCGGGGGCCACGGTTGCCCGTGGCCAGCGCGGTGTGGGTGGGGTGGCCCCGGGAGCGGCGCTGGGGGGGCTCCCGTCACAGCGGCTCTGCAGGAGGTGGCCCCGGCCCGGGGACCCCAACCTCACCCAGGGGCCGGGTCTCTGGCTGGTGGGTCCCGGGGGGGCACCCGCTCCCGGGGGGGCACAGCAGCGCCCCGTTGCCTCGCCAGCACGGGGAGCGCCCGGCCCGCGGTGCCGCGCTCTCCGCCGTGGCGCGGCGCGTCCCGGTCCCTTGCCCCGCGTGGGCTGCGAGGGCGGGGGGCGAGGAGCGGGACGTTTCCCGCTTCTGGCTGCACCGGGGACCCTCGGCGGGGCCTTGGATTTTCCCACCTTTACAGCCGCGGAGCTGGAAGTGCCCGCTACACTACGCGCAAGATATTTCTTTTCTTTCTGGTCAGTACTCATAGTCCTGTGGTTGAACGGTTTGTTTACCCTGACAGAATGTCATCCGCCTTGGCTTTGATTTTGTAAATAATCCACCTCCAGCTATGAGTGCTCTCACTCCGCCATAGCCTGAACTTTTGTACCGCCATGGGGCATGGGGTGATTTCGTGATGGTTAAGGGGAGGTGAAAGTATTTTTGCCCTTGTCCTTTTGCCTTGTTTTGAGAAGTAAACAATGAAGTTTAAGCCTTCCCACAGAAAATTTGTAAGAATGTGAGAAGACAGTAGAGACCAAATAATTATCCATAATCAATACAGTTAAAGTCAATGGACTCTGCGTGTCCTCTTCTAATAGACTTTGTTCTGGGTTGTACCTTGACAGTTTATTTAGAAATATGAACTCTGTAAGGAATGGCTATTTGACTATGTAATCTTGTTAAACTCATGAATTCAGTTGGTCTGAAGTCTGTATCATTGAAGCCAGCTGGAACTAAATGTTTTGATAGCTAAAAAATGGTTCGTTGAAGAAAATTCTGAAATAATGGGACTAATAAGTTGCCAAGAGAACTGTTTACATGGGCCTAAGTGAAATTGTCATAAGGCAAGAGGAAAAATTTTTGACCCACATCTTAAATTCTTGCTTAGTCAAGTTATGCAGGCAAATAGATTGTATAATGGGATGTATTTATAAAATAAAGCTGATTAGTGATGTTGGTGTCTTATGCAACCTACGTCCAGCATTAAATCAGATTAATTTATAGGTGATTTTGTTGATGAGCACACACTGATGCTCCCATGGTGTGAATTTCAATAACTTGCTTTCCTCTTTGGAATCCATAATTCTATTATTTGAGACACTTCATTGTTATAGATAACACATTTTAAGTGATATTATTTATGCTGTTTCATCTTGTCACTTAGGTTCTTGCTCAAGTTCATTAATGTATTGTGCTCCTCTCTGTACAAGAGGGTGCAGTGAGAGCAATTGATTTTAAGTCCACATAATGACTGATGATATCATGCATGTTTACTGCTTTGACACTGCAGACTAGATGCTAATGCTGCAGAGATAAACATGATGTCATTTTATGCAATTAAACACTTAATATACAGCAGGTAATGATTTGGTAAGCTTGGCACATGCAAGCAGTGCCTTTTAATCTTACTAACAGGGGTGGGATGACGCCACAAGTGATATACACATACCCAGGCTGTATCAATAAAAAAATCTTTTCCAGGCTTGGGTCATTCTACTGTGATAGGATGAAGATACCTAAAATATGTCCCTAGCAGCTCATGAGCAGCTTTTACAGGATCTAGGAAGAGATGTCAGATTTAGACCAACCTGAAAACAAACAAGTGAAGTGTTCCTTATGTGCCTCTGGCCGCCTCATCCCGTGCTGTAGTTGCAAGCAGAAAGGCTGGTTACTGACTGCTGGCACTGCGTCTGCTCCGGAGCCGGGGGGCACCAGGCACGCCGGTGTCCCACGGCCTCCTCTAAACCCCTTCGGCCCTTCTCACGGCTAGTGAGTGTCCGTCTGTGGAAGCTGCTAGATGACAGCAACATCCGTGCTGTTGACTGAGGACTGAGTGTGTCCTGCTCGCGAGAGGAAAATGTCTCAAAAATGCCCCTCAGCCCGCCGGACGTGCTGCAGGCATGCCCCTTCTCCGGGGCGGTGCAGCCTCTGCTCCTGTGCGTAGCTCTGGCCTCCCTCCTGCTGCAAACGTTGCCCGTGGCCAGGAGCCGCGCAGTATGCGCCTCAGCTCCACAGATGCGGCAGCAAATGGCCTCCTTCCACAATAGTCAATATTTCCCAGCCTTGACAGGTTAGCCAGAGTAATCACAGATTTTATGTGGCACAATTAACATATCTTTTCTTTATAGCTATTGCACATGAATTTGTCTGTGATAAGCAAGGTCAAGCTGTGCACCAAGCCAGCACCATCCTTCCGGGCAGGTCCCAGACCCACACGGCTGCCTGGCAGGAGGCGTTAGCAGGCGGCCAGGCGACGAGCTGCTTCGGAAACTCAACAGCGCGTTGACTGCAGCACAAGCTTCTCCAGTGCTGGTAGAACTGCCACCTCTTCCCTGTGGTTGTGTAATCTGGCGGTGGAAGGCACGGATTTTAAGACCTGCTCATTGTATTACTAGAAAACCAGAAAATTCAGCATCAAGGAGGGAGTGGGTTGGGAGCTGGGGAAGGCCCGAGGCACCACCACACGCATGGCATTCTGTGGCTGGGACTTGAGTTGAATAGCACATGACAACACGGAGCAAAGCTCTAGGAACACAGAGGACAACATTCCCAAACCCTTCCTCAGGTGCTGAAATAAAAGACCTGGCTTTGTAAAGGGCGCGAAACAACGCAGTGATATTGCCCAAATTTCTGGAGTCTTGTAATTTTTCATGGAAATGCTTGCAACTAGAGATGCTCCAGCTGAGGCTGGAGGTGAGGGAGCTGAGCAAGCTGGAACTCACTGGACAGCCCCCATTTTATTGTGTCCTTGTGCAGCTCAGTCTCTGTGGGCACCTGTCACCCCTCTCCCTCCTACGAGCATTGCAGTTGCTCTCCCGCGCTGCCCTTTCTGACAGATCCCTCAGTGCCACCGACCTCTGTCACGGCTCACCCCGTTCCCGCTTCCCTGAAATCAATTACCTGCTCTGCACTGCTCCATATTCATCAGGGCTCCAGCCATTTGACCTGCACTCCCCTGCTTCTTCTCCAGCCAGAGTACCGCTTCCAGCATTTGCAGAGGAACGGCTCTGTCTTCGCGAATCAAGCAAAGAGGGGTCAAGCCAGGAGGGATGCCGGGGGGCTCCTGGGCCGGTCCTGCTCTGCTCTGGGGTGTAGTGGTGTCCCTGCCTTGCTCCGGAGCAGCAGTAGCGTTGAGCTGCTCTTGTGTGAGAGCAGAGGTGGTGACGGTGCCCCGAGGCGTGACTGGCCGTGGTGGACCATGTGCATCTTGGTGGGGAGAGGGTGCTCCTGGAGAAGGAGCCAGAGGAGCGGGTGGCGTCAGGGAGCAGCGGCAGAGCCAAGGACAATAGCTGGGTTTCCCTCCTGGCACCTGCAGCAGGGCCATCCTTGCTCCCAGCAGCTGCGGGTGCTTCTGTGGTGGCCCGGGGAGGCTGCGGTGTCACGCCAGCCCAGAGGCTGGCCAGGGGATGGGGCTGTACCTGGCCGTGGCCCAGGATAACCGTGGCTGACCTGCGCGCCGGGAAGCGCACAGGCCCTGGATGAGGCTTTCCCCACTTTTTAGTTCTCAGGCTGGAGTGATCTGTGGGCCCCACGATTAACCCCGACAGCTGCCACAGAGAGCGTCAGGCTTTGTGCTTCATTTATTCTCAAATAAAACAATATCCGTGTGACAGGGGGGATGTTGACCCATGAGTAACTCAGCAGAGGCTCCCTTTGCCAGGCATTGTGTAGCCCGTGCTCGCCAGTCTGGCCCCCTCCAGCCTCGGTGGAGGCCCCCGGCCCCTGGCTGCCGCCCGGCCCCCCGCTTCAGCCCGCTTGGGCCGGTCGCCTTGCCCGCTGGCCAGCCCCCCGCCCATGGGCCGTGACGCCGGTTGCCCAAACTGCCTTTCCCGTTGAGTGTTTCAGGTTAGCAGGGCTCCCCCGGTCCGGCGCCGTCACCGCCGAGTCGGTGCCGCCTGCGGGAAGCGGCACCACGCCGGGGACCCAGGGCCGGGGTCCGGCTCCCCAGCCCCGCGGAGGCTCTGGCGTCCTGCCTGGCGCCTTTGCCCAGCGCCGCGGGAGCCGGCCCCGCTGCCGGGCGCTGCCACGGGACCCGCCGGCCAGGGACGAGCTGAAGGCGAAGCTCCCCCACGCAGGCGCCGAGCCCCGCGCGGCGCGGCGGGACCTGGTGCCACTTCTGGTCGGCGTCCCAGAGCCGGGCTGCACAAGCACGTGTCCCCGCGCCGCAGCGGGGGCTGAGCCTGGACCTTCGTTTCTCTTGTAGGTTTCCTTTCCAAACAACGGCGCCAGGGCTTGTGTTTGAATTTCATTTCGTCTTCTTTCCAAAGTCTCTGGGACACGCCTGGGTTAATATTATAGTTTATCAACAATCAGTGCTCAAGAAATAGGTTCTCTTTGGGTGATATTTAATGAGCTTGGAAATGAGAATATGGCTGTGCTGTTGTAGGAGACAGGAATGAGAATTTTAATGAGGGCTTATGTTTAATAAAAGGTTAATAAATTTTAATTAAATTAAACCAATAAAGTTCAATATTTGCTTAGCATATCAAAGTTCTGTTTGGCGTGGTGGTGTGTGAAATGCTAGCTCACACTCTGCTAACACCAGGGTCTAACTCCCACTTCTACCAGCATTGCCAGCCCTGGCAGAGCAGGTATGGGAAAAACCTCCGGTCATAGGAAGGGACTGTAGGAGATGTTTGAATTCTGGCATATTTTGCAGATGGGTACCAAAGGCCCCTCTCTGGCTCACAGATCCCCGCGTTTGCTGGCAGCTGATGCTCAGCTACCTCCGATGTGCCAGAGCGAACTGGTGCCACGCAGAGCGACGCGCGGCTTCCGGACGGAAGCTGTCCCGTGGAAAACAACTTCCAGGCTGGGGAACGTGTTTGCTGCTCACTCACTCCCTTGGGAGCCCCATGGGGTTTCATCTTTGACAAACTTTTTATACAGTTTCATGCTTAAAAAAATGCGAGAGCTGTCTCTAAATTGTGAAAGACTCTTTCAAGATGAATTTTAAAGAAAAAAATCCTGTTTAGTTGTGAACGCAGCAAAATGGAAAGCAGTCGGATGTGGGGGCGGTTTCAGAGGCCTGTGCTGGGAGCAGCCCGTGGCACTGAGCCCTCCCGCCCAGCTCCGTGCCCGCTGGGACGTTCAGCCGCTGGGCCGGTGCCTCCCTGCCCCGCCGGGCTCGGGGGGACCTGGGGGTGTGAGGAGCCGGGCCCCGCGCGGATCCCCGGGTCAGGCACGACGTGCCGGGACAAGGAGCTGCTCCAGGGTGCAGCCGCGCGTCCCCGGGGACCTCGCCGGGAGCCCG